ACAGATAATTTCGCCATGTCTTAAATTATATTCCTTTTGTTTCTACTGCCATGGTGTTTTTGACAGGCGCAACTCAAATAAATGCACATTCATAGTCACTTCACGTTTCCGGTTGTAAAAAAAAAAATTAAAAAAAATAATGCAAACATCCCTCATGATGCCAGAGTCGTCAGAATTGCAGTAATACGTTTTATACATTCCTGAGACTGACGTGAAAAAGGTTAGGGTTAACGTTCAAACACGTTTAAATGTGCAAATAAAACAAAGAAGGGCCTGTTTGGACTGCAGTGACGTCACCTTCCGCTATGATTAACTGGAGATTGATCTGCAACAGGTTAGGGAGCGTTCAGTGTTACACACACTGACGCGCACGAAAACATCTTGACACTCGCAGGTTCTACGACGAAGAAGTTGGCGATGCAGGAACACACACACACACACACTCACACACACACACGCACACACACTCACTCACAGGCTGGACAGGTGTAGACTGAGCTCAGGGCAGAAACTGTTGGTGTTTCAGTGGAACCACAGATCTGAACACTGCAGGATGTTTGGAGATTTAAAGAAGTTCTGATAAATAACATTTTACATGTAAATATTTATATTTTACAATTATTTTTAAATAAAACAACTAATAAAATATCATTTTTGATAGTAGAGTCATAATGTATTCATTACTACCACGAACACTACTAATGATAATGATAATTATAATCATTTCTGTTTATTTTCTTGTAATGATTTTTTACAGATTACAACAATTCTTGAAGTATTTTGTGAACTACATCTATTTATTATTTTTCTTGTTTTTGATGTTGCTAAAATAATTTAAAATAGCTTAATACAATTCCTTTAATATATATATATTTATGCAATTCCCTACTTTCTTGCATTCACCCATTTATTTAATACCTTTTTATGGGTTGTCATTTCTATTATTAGTATTAGGAAAATTAACGTAAGAAAAAAGAGAAATAACATAGATTTGTAATTTTCCCCTTACAGGAAGAACATAATAGATTTCCTGTTTTTCTTTTTAATAATTTATAAATTGTATTTTTATACATAAACATATTAGCTTCAAATCATTTTTTATTTTTGGAATTGAATTATAATAATTGTGAATATTTTTAAATTAAATTATATAACAATTATACTGACTCTGATCCACCAACGTAAAGGTCTTAAAAGCTACTGTCTGTGTTCGGTCTGCTGGGCCTCTTTCCGGGGAGGAGGATGGAGGCGCACGGGCCGGAGGTGAGCGAACCACGGAGTATATTTTTGTAGAAAAATAAATACAGTTTTAAACATTCTTCAGGAACAAGCATTGGACAGGGAAATACTACCTTTACTGCTGCTGCTGCTGCTGCTGCTGCTGCTGCTGCCTTTGACCCTCTGGTTTTCCTGATCCAGCAGCAGGGATCCATACGAACAGACTAGGCCTGGAATCGAACCTCTGGCGCCGAGGGATTAATTAGTTTCCTCAGGTCATCACAAAACAGACGTCACGTCGTTCCTCATTGATGAATGGGAATATGGCGCAAAATAAATACATCTGAAAAGAAATATTTTTGAAAGATTAATTTAAAATATTTTAACGTACAAACGTATACATTTTTTTGCGGGGCACGTGCACAATTTATATATTTAATAATTTAACTATCCATTTATTTAAGAGTTTAAGATATTATTATTTATTTAATTATTTAAGTTTGGTAAATACTTTCTTCAGTGTACTTATACACATAAATATAAGGAAGTACAGTATTTGTAAATGTGCTGTTGTTTAAATTCAACAAATATAATTTACTTTATCACTTATTATATACAAAGAACATTTAACATAGGTGGGGGTTTTTATTTAGATAATACGGTATTAGTTCAAATGTGTGTGTACCGTTTGGCTGCCTCATCTGTCACTTAATGTTCGTGAGTAAAAATGTGCCCCCAAGTGAACGCGGCGCTCGCCTGCGCGGTGAAATCCCCTTGAGGGTTGAAGTCGTTAAATTCCAGCTCAAACCCAGTGTTCGCTGTTTAGATCCCAATTACAGCCTTGATGGAATGTCATTCATCCCCAACCTGGAACGGCGCTGTTGCCACGTGTGCACGCGCTGGGAACGCGCACGGAAACGAACGACAGGATTTTTTCTTTCAGGTTTTTCAGTTTTTACCCTTTTCAACAAAATTAATTTGTTTTCACACATTAAAAAATGAAGAAAGGTATTTTTCAATTAACGTCAGTGTGGGTTTAAAATAAACAAAGGACATCCATTTTATTTATAAAGATTATGATTCGATGTTGATATCGTTTAATGTATTTGTATTTGTGTAATAAATTTAATTCTTTTTTACCTTATTGAACGGGTTCAGTTTTGAACAGTTTAACAGGCAGGTTCACAGTTGTACCACCGATTCAGTCGTTACTTTCATCGTCACCTATTAAAGATTAAACGTTTGGAAACTCACCCAAATTACAATAAGAAATATATTCTACACAGAATCAATTTATGATTTTTTTAATCAATCAAAATTCTTACTTCTGCGTAAAATATGAAAAGTAACACAAAGTAACAGGGGTCTCGCTTTATTTTAACCATGTAAAATTGAGTTCGGAACATTCTGGAACAGGATTGTTCCAGAACTTTAAGCTGTTCTTAGTATGTCTTCACACACAGGTCCCTGTTTTCATTCAACGTCAGATTTCCTGCATGGGAAACGTCTCAGACACGCTCTCTCTCTCTCTCTCTCTCTCTAACACACACACACTTGAAAGGATTGCGAGCCTACTGTTAGGGTTTTTCTGTCTAACGATGCAAAAGAAACGCAAAATTCAAAGGATACACAAAATATACAATTATGGACGTGTTTGTGCGCACGCGCACAATTAAAATGCCACAGTGATGCTGTAAAGCTTTCATAATTAGTGATGTCTGTGCAATTACTGGCACAAATTGCGACTTTAAATAAGAATATTATACATTCTCAACCACAGAATAGCGTCAAGTTAATATTCAGGGATGGTTCTAAATTTTCTGTGACGCGAATTTCGTAATATAACGTCAAATATGAATCGTTTTATTTAGTTCTAAAATGGCGGGACTGGTCAGAAGGTTCTAGATAAAGTCAAAATATCAATTTTGACTTCTGAAATAAAATAATTCCAATATTGGGTTCTTAGAAACTGACTGAAAAGTCATTGTTTTATTTTTCAAACGTGTGTGTCAACAATCATTGCACATTAAACGCATCATTTGTCCATGACTAACCTGTGTGTTCCGTTAACAGGTTTACGGCTTCAGTTTCCCGCCCTGCTCAAAATGTAGATGTTAAATAAAAAGTTCTAAAAAAATCCAGCTTCGGTTTGAAAATCAATTTTTTAATAATTGTATTCCTTCAGTCTGGACGCGACATCATTTCCAGCCCGGCACAGAAATATCCAGACATTTATCACCGCTCTATTAAAGCGGCTTTTACTCCCGTGCGTAAAACGGCTCGGTTGCGGGCAAACAGACGACTGACTGCACGGACGCGCACAGACGCACGCACGCGCCTGTCACTGCAGAGCTGCAGTGATTTACAGCTTGCTCCTGTGCATGTGTGTGTGTGAGTGTGAGTGTGTGTGTGTGTACAGTCCATATATCTATATTTATATCGTTTCAGCTGAATGTGCCAGAGAAAAGGAGAGAAAAAAACGACCAACAGGAAAATAAGGCAGTGAGGATACACTGGGTCCCAGGTAAATACACACACACACACAGGCACAGATGGAAAAAACACAGCACAGACCCGATGTGTGTGTGTGTGTGTGTCCCTGTAGGATTATTACAGCAGCAGCAGCAGAGATGCGTTTTCAATTAGGAGGAAAATCTGATGGAAGCAGAGGGGAAATTTAGGAGCTACACGAGGAAGAGGAGGAGGAGGAGGAGGGACTTCGGTGGGAACAGTGGCTGTGTGCACACACGGAGAGAAATATTCTCTTATATTAATCTGATTAGGAATATAACCTGAGCAATTTGTTTAAGCCTTTTTGAGTCATGGCATATATTTTACATCAGAAAAATCCAACTGTGTAATAACAAACAAACATGGCGCAAAACGTTTATGAAAATAAATGTAATGATCTCCTAGTTTCAATTTATTTAATGGTATGTTTAGTTGAACACAACACTAAAATACACGCAGAAATTGAAAAAAGACACACTAGTATATATATATATATACATATATATATAGATATATATATAGATATATATATACATATATATATATTTTTTATTTTTTTAAAAAAAACCGCAGCAGGGCTGAAATTGCTCTTACCGTGTGCAATACATAAATAGTTCTGTTCAGGCTGGCGAGACTTCATCACACAGTAGTTGGAAATCACTGCTGTGGAGACACATCCATCCAGATTCACACTCCTCTAAAGTACCTGGACCAGAAGTTCACCTCTGGGACTGGACCACTGAAAAGAAAGAGATTATAAAATATACATAAATAAAAGGCGTTTTCATTATTTTTTTAAATATCTTTTAAATAAAATGACTGCAGTTGTTGTTAGGTTAGTTTTTAATTGTATGGACGATAACATTTTAATGCAGGCAAAAAAAAACATTTTAAATATTGTTTTCACAACCTAACTCCAGGTCTGCACTTTACGATGACTTGGATAGACAGAGTTTCGCGGTTACGTCACCATCTCCCGCAAATGTATTGAGAAAATCTTGTTTCATCATTCTAACGTTTGGCGTTATTTATTTATTTATTTGAACAGGAACTAGTTGACAAACGGAGCGGACGAATGCGTCATCACGCGGCTAAACCTATCTACGTATGTTTGCGTTATTATTTTTGGGAACTTTTCGTCCTTCATTTTGGCTCCCAGACGTAAGTGTGAATCTTCTGATCTAGATTATGATGTTTCTACAGTGTTAGTGTAGGTGAGTGACATAGGTACTTACAGAGTGTACACTACTGATGTACACTACAGTATGAGTTCCGACTTACCACGAAAATCGAGTTATGTCGTGCCGCAAGAACAGGATTCTGACATAAGTCGAGGACCACCTGTTGATTGATTATGGTGATTACACACAGGACGTGTTCGAACTTCAGGTCAGGGGTCCAGCCTGTGTCAGACATGTAATGAGTCTCCGCTAAATGTTCGATATTACCTTTTTAAATATCAATAATTCCATGATGAGTGAGAAATAAAAACAGGTATGAAACACAGACATCCAGCTGCTGTTATTTGTCTTTTTGTTCTAGAGATAAACAGATTTTTTTCAGTTCTAATATTAATGTTGGTGCAGAAACCTCAGTTTAAGGAATTATGATTTCCAATTTTTTTTAAAAAGAGGAAATTTGTCCTTTTTTTCTACCAAAGGAAAAATCCGAAGTAGCCCTTTAACTCTGCACCATGAGACACAGGCTCATCACTCATTTCAATCAGTCCATGTGTTCCTCACAGATGAGACTTGAGTTTCAACATGACAGACGTGTGAGTCTTTCCAGGCTGCTTTCAACACCTTTTATCATAAACGCATTACATCCTCCATGTAAACACTCTGTGGAAAAAAAAAATCTTAAATATCAGTGGCCATAAAGTCCCGATCAGAGGCTCCCTCTCTGACTCTGGCTTTGTGTTGCAGCCCAGACTCCTCTCAGCTGAATCCCACACAGCGTTGGACCTCACTGAGGACCGAAGCGGCCAGTTCCTGCGCCCTGCTGTTCCCACGAGACAGAACCGACTCGAGGTGAGCAGCGTCAGACTTTAGCCTCTGGATCTCCTCCCTGATGGGAGTCAGCCGTTGGATGACGGCTTCAGCTACGAGCTGTTTATACGCTCCTGTGTCCAGGCCTCTGGCCTGAGACACGGCCTCCTCCAAGCTGATCCTGGCCGTGGCCGAGTGGATGGTCACCAGGTTGGAGACGCCAGGTCGTGTCTCCGGGTCGAACGTGACCTCCGAGGTGAAGTCGGTGACGGCACGGCGGATTTTGAAAGCGATGTCGTCGGGAGAGTCTGTGATACTGATGGTGGCTCCGGCGTGAGGATCGGACTTGGACATTTTAGCAGAAGGGTCTCGAAGGGATTTGACCTTTCGAGTGGAACCTGTAAAAAAAAAAAAAAAAAAAAGGGAAAATAAAGAAGAGTTAATCTGGGTTGGAAAATGGATCAAAACACATCTCTGAAAAAAATGTTGTCTTAAGATGTTCAAGCTTAGTGTTATCCAACCTTGGGGTTGCGACCCCATTTGGGTCGCCGGAAACTCAAATAGGGTCACCTGAAATGTTTTGTCATTGATACAAAACTAAATAAATAAAAAAATTACGCGACTGAAAATAAACTTCTGTCCCCTAGGGGGGGCATGGCAGATAATAATTGAGAAACACTGTTTGAACACATCACCTTAATAAGCAGGCAGCTTAACTTCCTTAACCACTAGGCCACCACTGCCCCGCTATATCGGTATTGGTTGATATCGGAATCGGAAATTAAGTGTTTGGACAATATCGGCATATCGGCAAAAAGTTAATATCGGACACCCTTACTATTTGTCTTGTTTCTTTGTTTGTAAAAAAATAGAGCTAAATATAAAATATTTAGCTAATGTTTCGGAAATTAGCTTTTAGCTACATATAACATCTTATTGGCTAAGTTGTAATTGTTTCGATAAACACGATTTCTTGGGGCTATTAGCGATCTTCAAGTTAATATTTTGAAAGTTTGGGAATTATTAATGACAGAAAGTTATTTTTGTTTAATATCTTTTGACCATATCTTATATTTGACTTAACCTTAAGTAATTCCGGGCTACATCGTGATTAGCATATTAAGCTAATATAAACACATTTTTCGCAAATATTAGCAAATGTCGCCAATCTTTCTTGAGCATCTTTCACTGCCAGTGTGCGAACACAGAGTCGTTCTTTCACTGCCAGTGTGCGAACACAGAGTTCGTTCAGAGAGAGAGAGATCTTCTGAGTTCTTGGAAATGTTGCCCATTAATGTGGCGGTGGTTTTAAAGAGACCTCAATATTCAATTAAAGAGTTGGATTTTAGATGTGATTTATTCTGTTGTGTGGTTTCATCTTTCAAGTGATATGTGGATGTCGAGCAGATCACGGTCCCACACATGTCCGAGGAAGTTAATGATAAAGTTCTGCACGTTTCTGTGTGAGTATGACTTTGGGTGTGTGTGTGTGTTGAACAGGCAGGAGGAGTAGGGGGATTTCCTCTGCTTCCTAATTTATCAACTCCATCCCTCTGCCATCTTGCAAACTCTTTGTCAAGCCAACTGTGGAACCACATCCGTCCCACATGTCACATGGTTTTCAAGTCTCCAGAGACGTCTCTCTTTACTACGGTCAATGTAAAACAAAAACAAATCCTACAGAAAGTCTTTGGTACCGTTTCAAAGGAGACGACGGTGCCATCGGCAGCTGTTCTCAACCAAAGATGACAAGCAGAGGAGATGAGTCCCCCGACTCCTCCGCCCAACGAAAATCTATTATCACTGCTCCCATTCTGATACAGGAGGAGGGCAGTATTTCTTTACTCCAGGCTGCTCTGCACACATGACAGTATGTGGTATAGCTGCACTTGTGGGGACGCCTGGACCTAGTTGGGGGCATTTTGAGTGACATCACATCGGTGGTCCCCTGCCGATACTAGAGAGGCCGGGGCAGTGGTGGGTTAGTGGTTAAGGAAAGGGGACTTGGGTCAGGTGGTTTCAAGTCCGAGTCCAACAGCTGCCAAGTTACCACTGAGGTGCTCCGAGCGTGACACCATAACCACATACTGCCCCCTAGGTGCTTGAGCTGTCCACTGTTCACTTTGGTGATAAGACATTGTCACATGATCGCAGCCGTCAATCAAGACGCACCAAAATCTTGGCCTGCGACCCCATGTTGATTTTACTTGAAAATGAAAACAATAATGATAGTGAATAGTAAGTATTCAATCATAATCAAAACACTTTTTTTATCAATTACTAGACGTGTCAGACGGCCCCATGTGATTTCCAGGTGACCCCAGATGAGGTCGTGACCCCAAGGTTGAAAAACACAGCCCTAGGGTCAATTTTGGATGGAGCTTATAGATAGTAGGTAATAGTTAAGGGACTTGGGAACACAATTTGTCCTGTCTTTTTTTACAATAGGTCAAAACCTGAATGTGTGTCTGTGTGTAGAGAGAGAGAGGAAAAGAGAGAGAGAGAGAGTCCAAACTAAAATAAAGTTCAATTTTAGTGGAGGCCTAATTATTTCCTTCAGTTCCCTTTAATGTACCATGTGCTGCATCTGTACATCCAATAAAAACATAACATCAGTCCCACTCGAAATAAGTCTGTTTGAAGTCGCAAGAAAACAAAGTTGTTGTTAAGAAAGAAAAGAAAGGGGAAAAAAAAGAGTAAAATGAAGACATAAGCAAGACACGTTTCAAATGAACAGACGCAGTGTTCAGCAGTAAAGCTTTGATTCTGCCACTTTTATGGACGTTCTTTTCAGCGGAGAAACTCAATGATGTCACTGTTGAATCAATGGCCGTTGTTTGATTATTCACCTGACCTTTCTCCTCACCACTGCAGCCCAACTGTGCGACCGTGTTAACGGAGAATCTCTTTTTTTTTTTTAATCGGCTCTAACGGCCCGTAGCTCCGTGTGTCGTGTGTGGGTTCTTACTCAGCAGCGCTCGAGGTTCAGGGAACACATCTCCGTATCTGTTGTTGAAAATGCGGGCCAGATCCTGGGCCAGCTCCAGGTGCTGGACCTGATCTTCTCCAACAGGGATGTGAGTGGACCTGAAGGACAAAGACCAGATGATGGGGAATAAAGAACGACAGCAGTGATTCAGAAAAAGCTGCAGATTTTTTTTTTTTTTTTTTGGAGATTTCTGTTCCCAATTTGAGTGTTTCTTAAGTAAAACAGAGAGAGAACATGGAGAAAAGGTTCCGTGCACAAACAGCCGTCATGTGTTGTGGATTATTGGGAGTCAGGGGGACATTGTTTGAGGCAGAAAACACTGTGGAATTTTTAAACAGGTTTCTTTCAACGTCCTGACTGAGAAGGAGGAAGACGCTGCGAAAAAAGACGTCAAAGTCTGACACGGTCGCTGCAGCCGTGCGGTCATCAGGCCTTAGATCAGGGCCAGCTCTGATACCTTGATATGTTGCATTTTAATTTACCTTAATTAATATTTAGAAAAGTAGAAAAAGACAGTCGATTTTTATCATAATAATAATTAGTAGAAAAATATATTTTTAAATGAATTATACATATTGTTATATATAATATTTATATTACATTTTTATTATATATATTTTTATATATTTTTTAATATATATTTTTAATTTATTTTTAATAATTCCATTATTAATTAATCATATTAAATATTATTATTATTAAAATTATAATATTTTTTTTAATCAATCAGACATTTTAGGTGACCCCATTTGAATTCCAGGCGCCCCATTGTGGGGTTGCGACCTCAAGGTTTGCCTAAGTGGCATTCAGGTGTTCAAACAAAACGTGGGAAAAAAAATTCTCCCACAGACACAAACAGAGCTGGACTACACCTTTTCAGTTGGTGTTTTTACAATATTTCTTTCCAGAATGGATGGAATCCAAACTAATGGAGTTCAGTGGGTAAAGCTACAAATCTATACTGTATATACAACCAATCAATACTGTAGGTAAACATCAGTCACCGTGTCTCTGGAACTGAAATACAAATGAATTCGCAGTGAACCAGCCAAACAATGGGCAGGGAAAAATTCACCATGAGTTAACAATAAAGTGTTTTTTTTTCATTTCCAGGCTGAAGTTTTACTGCCGTGATGCTTGTACAATAAATCTGCAGCATTTTATGTGCATGACTTCATGAGTGCTGTGTTAAATTGGGTGGGTCAGAGTATCAGTAGAGAAAGTTAACGTCACAGTTCCGTGGTAATATTTTTAGAAAAGGCAGACCTTAACTCAATAAGACAGCCGTTTGTTGAGCGTTCAGCAATTTCAAATTTACACTGAAAAATAAGAATATCAGCAATTTCAAATTTACACTGAAAAAAATATTTAAAAAATGTCAACATTGTTGATGATGCTTGTTTTGGGTCGGATATTTTCCTCCTAACCTCAATCAGAAAATCCGAGACTCACTATCTAAACACACTCCAAACATCCGCACGTGTTTCTCACTTGTACAGCAGAATATCTGCAGCCTGGAGAACAGGATACGTGAAGAGACCCACGCTGCCTTCGTTCTTCTGTTTGCTCTTCATCTGCAGGAGACAGCATCAGAATTTAGACTTTGGAGGAAAACAGAAAGAAAAAAACCAAACGTGTAG